ACCTAAATTAAATTTTAAAAAAATTGAATTAAAAAATTACACAAAAAATGAGGAATTTTTAAATAGTTAATTTGATACTAATGTCGATATATTTTTGTCAAATTTTTATGATATATTCAAACTTATATTTTAGTCAAAAGTAAAAACACCATCGCTTTCTCAAAATCATATACTACCATATTATAACATCGACTGAGGTAAAGAATAAAATGAAATATTAAAATCAAGATGTATCTCGTTGCATTGTGCGAATACCTTTGTAGTATATAGATAATACATGTCACGGATACATGTATTATTTGAATAAGAGATAAAATATAAAAAATCTATATTATATTATAAAGCATTTGACAAAAACTCTTAAAAATAATTTTTTATACATAAAGTACTGTTTATCGATGCATATTACTTAAAGTTCAGGATTACAAGTAGTTTTGCGTAAGTACAACTTATTAAAGCTTCATTTTTAAATTTGTGTAACTAACTGCAGATAAACATAATGAAATACATGAATACAAGATAAACATCAATTTTAAATATAAAAAATCTAAAATATAACTAAAACTATATTATTAAAACAAAAATAAATTACTTTGTTATTAAATCTAAATTAAATTATAATAAAAAATTGAAATAAAGAAGTTAGACCAAAAAAACGAGAACTATTAACTAGTTAATTCGATACTAATTTTGATTTATTTTTTTCAAATATTAAAACTAAATATTAAAATGAAAATTTATCTCGCTGCATTACGCGAGTATTCTTCTAGTATTATTAAACTCGAGAAGATAAAATAGTTACAACAGTGTAATTCTTTTTAAAATATGATTAAATTTAAATCATGGGTTCAACTTTAGTAATAAATAAGACTTTGAAATTTTAAAATTTAAAATTTAAAATAAAATTTTAAAATTTAGAATTTAAAATTTAAATCAGACGAGGATTTATTTTGAAGAGCAAATTACGATTTTGGCTCATGTGATTTATATAAGATTACAAATAAAGTCCCTCTATTTTAACCAATATAATAATAGAACAAAATATAAACCTGTAACACGCAAAAAAAACCCAGATATTGCACACACACAAACACCTGTAGACACACAAAATATATACATAGATATACATGTAACGGCATATTGACCGATTCTGTTAGCATCAAGGATCACGTTCAAAGTAAAATACAAAATATTGGACTGTTATTGTACTTTATTAAAGTTCAGGGGCACTAGTTGTAGTATTCTGTAAATAACAGGGACACAAATTGTAATTTTCTCTATTTTCAAGTATAAATATAGACCTTCCATCGCATAACTTCATTTTACGACTCATGTCATCACTCGCTCTCCCGGTGTCTCTCTCTCTCTTCTCTCTATGGTTTCCCGCCTTTTTCTTTGATCTTCGTCTATCCACTGCCTTCTTTCACCTGCATTTGCTGATTCGGTACCGTACCATCGTTCTTCAATCTTGGTTTTCATYATGAATCTTGTACGTTTTGATGAATCGATCGCCACCGGTCGTCGTAATTGTCCAGATGTATGCGATTTGTTTAATATGCGTCTTCTTGATGGACATCGATCTTATTATTTACGGGGTTCTACTTTTGATTGGCGAATAGGTTTAGTTCACGTTTTCTTGGATCGATCGCCACTGGTCCTTGAGGTTATCACAAAGCCAAGATTCGTCTCAGATAGACAAGATTTGATGATTATACAGTATCTTGATGGACAAGATTTTAATCGTACGTCTTCTTGATGGACAAGATTTTAATCGTACGTCTTCTTAAAGGACAAGATTTGATGATTATACGTCATCGCCACTGGTCTTTGAGGTTATCACAAAGCCAAGATTCATCTCAGATAGACAAGATTTGATGATTATATAGAATCTTGATGGACAAGATTTAATGGTATGTCTTCTTGATGGACAAGATTTGGGGATTATACGTCATCGCCACTGGTCCTTGAGGTTATCACAAAGCCAAGATTCATCTCAGATAAACAAGATTTGATGATTATACAGTATCTTGATGGACAAGATCTAATGGTACGTCTTCTTGATGGACAAGATTTGATGATCACACGTCTTCTTGATACAAATGTTATCATTATTTATCCGTTTGTACTCAGACTGTGTTAAGTTCGTGTACTGTTGGTTCGATCGCTTCATTGTGGTTCCTGCAATGCCAAGATTCAGAAACTTCTTCTGAGATGGACAAGGTTTGGATAATCATACGTCTCCTCTGTGATGTTATTACCCATCGTTTTCTACTATACGATCAATCATGTACTTGAGTTCTTTTACGTTTGCAGTGGGCGATGACTCTCCATCAGTTTGGTTCTCTTCTTGCACGCTTCTGTTTGCAGTCATATGCGTAGGTGAGAAATTAGTTGTGTATTAATAGAATTATATATGAAAATTTTGAATTCTTGTTGACTGTTACACTCCGATATAATCCTTTCATTTGTGCAGATATCTTCAGCGCATGCAGGTGTTTCACAATGATTGATTGAATAATAGGTGTTTGATCGAACATCTTTGTTTAGGAATTGTATTGGCGATGGGATTGATATCGATGCATGAAGTGTTGATGTATAGATCAGGCAAGACTGCAGCAGGTACTGATTTGCATTTGTATTATGGCCTTGCCATGTCGGGTGCGCTTGCTTGGCAGGTCATACATAATAAAAACAATGGTTTTTGGTTGATGGAGGGAGATGGTACGGGGTTTGCCTGACTCTCCCTCCATGTGGGTGTGTGGTTCTTTCCCCTTCCCCCCCTCTCTGCGATTATCTTGCTTGCTTGTTTCTTTTGTGGCATTCTTTARACACAAAAATACCACAACCCTGCCAATTGCAGAGATCGGACATGCAGGCACCTATGTATCAGTCTATGAAATTTCTCCATCCGTTGTTTTCAGAATATCATATTTTAACTCATGGCTGGTCATATCCATCCACCAGTTCCAAAATCATCACAGTATCATAGTTCAACTCATGGTTGGTTATATCCATCCACCAGTTCCAAAATCATCACAGTATCACAGTTCAACTCATGGTTGGTTACAAATGCAAACCATTTCTTATGGTTGGCTAATTATGGTTACAAAAGCATCATCAATTCAATGTGATATATGGATTCAAATAATTTCTATTGTATCCAACAGTAATCTGTCCATGAAATGTTTTTTATTATTAATATATCCATCCACCAGTTCCAAAATCTTCACAGTATCATAGATCAACTCATGGTTGGTTATATCCATCCACCAGTTCCAAAATCATCACAGTATCACAGCTCAACTCATGGCTATTTATAAATGCAAACCATTTCTTATGGTTGGCTAATTATGGTTACAAAAGCATCATCAATTCAATGTCATATTTGGATTCAAATAATTTCTATTGTATCAAACAGTAATCTGTCCACGAAACGTTTTTATTATTAATCGTTGATGGGTTGCAATGTTTGTTGGAAAGGTATTCTTCTAGCCAAGGATTGTTCACTTTTGGTTTTGGTTATTGGTTTTTAGTTTTTGGTTTGTATAGTAGTGCACTTCATCATAACCCCGGGGCCTGTCCTGATGGTTGAGTGGACATGCTTGTTGGTGGGAGTCCCACCTTAGGTTGTAAATGTTCTGTTATTGTAATAAAAAAATGCCCTCCTCCGTAATGAACTTTGAGAAGCAGCAGCACGAAGATATAACTTAAAGCCACAACAGCAACTTCAGTTAACCTGGGCGTGGAATTAAGCGTCATAGAGAAGCAGCCAGCAGCACGAAGATATAACTTAAAGCCACTGCATTGGAGCAAGGTGTCCAGGATGGGAAGAATTTCAAAGACATGAAGGTACTTCTCATCTCTCTGAAATTATTTCGTGTATTATATGATTTGAGTAGTATGCATAAAACCATTTGTTTAGCTTTCCAAGTAGTTGTGAACATACCTGCTCTGTTGAGTTTACGAGTCATGTGTGAAGTTATAGAACATAAGCTATATAAATATGAAGTTGCTACTCATAAACACACACAACCCTTTACCTATTGATGGACCTGAAACCTTACTATATTTACTTACATCTGGTATTTTTGATGGAAAACAGGTTGCAGCTTTCAACAGTAAACTTTATCATGGTTGTGTGTCTAAGGCAGGAAGTGAACAGAGTAGGATGTGAAGAACTTTATCATGACTGTTGTTCACTTTTGGTTTTGGTTTTAGTTTTGGTTTTTGGTTTGTATAGTAGTGCAGTTCATCTTAACCCCGAGGCCTGTCCTGATGGTTGAGTGGACATGCTCGTTGGTGGGAGTCCCACCTTAGGTTGTAAACATTTTGTTATTTTAATAAAAAATTGCCCTCTTTCATAACGAACTTTGAGAAGCAGCAGCACGAATTTATAGCTTAAAGCCACAACAGCAACTTGAGTTAACGTGGGCGTGGAATTAAGCGTCCTAGAGAAGCTGCAGCACGAAGATGGAACTTAAAGCCACTGCATTGGAGCAAGGTGTCCAGGATGGGAAGATTTTCAAAGACATGAAGGTACTTCTCTTTCCGTGTCATCGGTTTGATTCTCATCTCTCTGAAATGATTTTTTGTATTATATGATTTGAGTAGTATGCATAAAACCATTTGCTTAGCTTTCCAAGTAGTTGTGAACATACCTGCTCTATAAACAACCTGTTGAGTTTATGAGTCATGTGTACAGTTATAGAACATAAGCTATATAAATATGAACCCTTTATCTATTGATGGACCTGAAACCTTACTATATTTACTTACATCTGGTATATTTGATGGAAAACAGGTTGCAGCTTTCAACAGTAAACTTTGATACGAAGAGGATCCTATATCATGGCTGCGTGCGTGTCTAAGGCAGGAAGTGAACAGATCATGGCTGTGTGAAAAAGATGAATGGAGAT